TCTTTCTTTTTTGCTTTTTCTTTTATTTATTTGGTACAGGGTCTCACTATGCAGCTGGACTTGTAGTGATCCTCCTGGTTTCAGCCTCCCCAGTGCTGGGATTCTAGGCGTGTTTGCCACCATGTCTGGTCTTGATGGCCAGCTTAGTGCACCCGGGGGCGGGACCAGCATGGCACTGGGTATCGAACTTGGTCCCTGTGCTTGCCTCACCAGTTTTATTTATTTATTTTTTAAATTTTATTTATTTATTTTTTTTAACATTTATATGTGTGTGTGTGTGTGTGTGTGGCCAGCTCAGCCCACCTGGGGGTGGGGCGGGCTGGCATGTGGTGCTGGGGATTGAACCGTGGTCCTTGTGCTTTGCCAAGCTTGTTCCAAATAGGTGCTTTAGACCACTGAGCCATCTCACCAGCCCCCGCCTCACCAGTTTTAGTAAGCTGAGCTATCTCTCTGGCCCTGACCCTCAGTTCTTAATATAAAACACTGTTATATGTATTTACTTATATATAATCTGTGTACACACTCCTGTAAACTCTGTATCATCTCTATAGATTACTTGGAATATCTTATTCTATATACATCATTGCTATTTCGTGTTTAAAAAAATTTTTTTTGCAACATTGTTGTTTTGGTTACCTTTGTCTTGTTGCTGTGACAAAATACCTGACATCCAAAATGAAGGAAGGAAATATTTATTTAGCTCAGTTTGTGGAGGTTTCAGTGCATACTCATCTGGTTCCAAGGTAGAGTGGCACATGGCAGAGGATAGCAGTTCATGGCAGCAGAAAACAGCAAAACAGCAAGAACAAAAGGGCAGGAGCAGCAGAAACAATGGCAACAGAGAGTAAGTCTATCTCCCTTATGTTGCATTCAGGCTGTGCTCCAGACTGGGTGTAGCACTCATGCCCTTAATCCCAGCAGCACTCACACCCGTAATCCCAGTGGATCATGAGTTAATCACAAACTCTAGAAGCCTGTCCCATAACTGCATGAGGCTTTGAGGAGACACCTAGACACAAACCATAACAGTTGTATTGTTTTCTAATTTTTTTAAAAAGTTTTCATTGCACAGTTGGTTGAATCTATGGATATGAAACTCAGGACAGGGAAAGATGATTGTATTTCCTGTAGAGTGGATCTGCTGTTGACATAATCTCTTGGCTTTTGATGATTGACTATACTATATCTTGTTGTTGTTTTTTTTTT